GTCAGTAGCAAACTGGTTGATCCACTCTGAGAAGGTGCTATTTATAAGACTGAGCTGAATACAGCACCTCAGACTGAGGATGTCTTTTGAATGAAAGACAAAACGTTTCTACATTTTTGTTTTGTTTTTTGAATGTCTATAGGACCAGATCTGAGGAAACTCGTTTCATCCACCTGTATCCGCCATCTCATTCTTTCGGTCACTTCCCAGAGCTTGTGACCATATGTGAGGGTAAGAACCTAGACCGACCGGTAAACAAAGAGTTTTGCCTTACAGCTCAGCTCTCTCTTCATCACAACGGACCAGTACAGAGTTTGCAATACTGCAGACGCTGCACCAATCCATCTGTCAATCTCATGCTCCATTCTTCCCTCATTTGTGAACAAAACCCAGAGATACTTAAACTCCTCCACTTGAGACAGAACCTCACCCTCTATCTGGAGAGATCAATCCACCCTTTTCCGGTTGTGGACCATGGTCTCAGATTTGGAAGTGCTAATTCTCACCCCAGCTGCTTCACACTCAGCTGCGAACCGCTCCAGTGAGAGCTGAAGATCACGGCACGATAACGCCAACAGGACTACATCATCTGCAAAGAGCAGAGATGGAATCCTGAGGCCACCGAACCGAAAACTCTCTGCCCACCGGCTGCACCGAGAAATTCTGTCCATTAAAGTTATCAACAGAATTGGTGACAATGGGCAGCCCTGGCAGAGTCCAACTCCCACCCTGAAGGAGTCTGGCTTACTGCTGGCAATGCTAACCAAGCTCTCGCACTGCTTGTATATGGACTGAACAGCCCGTAGCAACGGGCCCCCAATCCCATACTCACGGAGCACCTCCCACAGTGTACTCCAAGGAACATGGTCGAATGCCTTCTCCAAATCCACAAAACACATGTAGACTGGATGGGCAAACTCCCATGACCCCTCGAGGAGCCTAGTGAGGGTAAAGAGCTGATCCAATGTTCCACGGCCAGGATGGAACCCACATTGTTCTTCCAGGATCTGAGGTTCAACCAACAATCAGACTCGCTTCTCCAGTACCCCTGAATAGACCTTACCAGGGAGACTGAGGAGAGTGATGCCCCTATAATTGGAGCATACCATCTGGTCCCCCTTTTTGAAGAGGGGAACCACCACCCCAGTCTGCCAATCCAGTGCCACTGTCCCCGATGTCTACGCAACATTGCAAAGGCATGTCAAGACAGTCCCACAACATCCAGAGCCTTAAGGAAATCAGGGTGAATCTCATTCACTCCTGGAGCCCTTCCGCCTCTGAGTTTTTTAACTACCTCGGCGACTTCAGTCATAGTTATGGATGGATCAACCCCAAAGTCCCCCGACTCAGCTTGCTCCATGGAAGACGTGCTGGTGGGATTGAGAAGGTCCAAGAAGTATTCCTTCCACCTCCTGACGACATCACTGGTTGTATTCAGTGAAGGTGGGCTGTTGTTGACATCAGTGTTAGTAAAGTGCTGCTTTCCCCTCCTTAGCCGTCTGATGGTTTGCCAGAATCTTCTCGAAGCCAACCGAGAGTTATTTTCTAAGGTCTCACCGAACTCCTCCCACATCCGAGCTTTTACCTCAGAAACAGCCAAGGCTGCGGACCGCTTGGCCCTCCGGTACTCCTCAGCTGCCTTCGGAGTCCCACTGGCCAACAACGACCTATAGGACTCCTTCTTCAGCTTGACAGCCTCCCTAACCCAGGGTGTCCACCACCGAGTTCGTGGATGACCACCGCGAGAAGCACAGACAATCTTGAGGCCACAGCTCAAGGCATCTACCTCAACAAGCGAGGCACGGAACATGGCCCACTCAGACTCAATGTCCCCCACCTCAGCTGGGATTCGGTTAAAGCTCTCCCGGAGGTGTGAGTTGAAGATATCTCTGATGGGTTCTTCAGCCAGGTGTTTCCAGCAAACCCTCACTACACATTTGGGTCTACCAGGTCTGGCCAGCATCTTCCCCCGCCATCTGATCCAACTCACTACCAGAAGGTGATCAGTTGACAGCTCAGCTCCTCTCTTCACCCGAGTGTCCAAAACAAATGGCCACAAATCAGATGACATGACTATGAAGTCAATCATCGATCTACGACCTAGGGCATCCTGGTGCCAAGTGCACTTATGGACACCCTTATGTTCGAACATGGTGTTTGTGATGGACAAACTATGACTAGCACAGAAGTCCAACAACAAAACACTGCTCGGGTTCATATCAGAGAGGCCGTTCCTCCCAATCATGCCCCTCCAGGTCACACTGGCATTACCCACATGGGTATTGAAGTCCCCAGGCAGAATAAAGGAGTCCCCAGCTGGTGCACCTTCCAGCACCCCTGCCAAGGATTCCAAGAAGGCCAGATACTCTGAACTGCATTTTGGCACATAGGCACAAACAACAGTCAGAGCCTGTCCCCCCACCCAAAGGCGAAGTGAAGCCACCCTCTCATCTATTGCAGAACACTCCAACACATAGGCACCAAGTTGGGGGCTACAAGTAGACCCACACCAGCTTGGTGCCTCTCACCATGGGCAACTCCAGAGTGGAATAAGGTCCAGTCCCTCTTAAGGAGATAGGTTCCAGAGCCCATGCTGTGCATAGAGGTGAGCCCAACTATATCTAGTTGGTACCTCTCAACTTCGTGCACAAGCTCAGGCTCCTTCCCTGCCAGAGTGGTTACATTCTATGTCCCAAGAGCCAGCTTTGGTAAGCCAGGGTCAGAGCGCCAAGGTCCCCACCTTTGGCCACTGCCCATAGCATCATGCATCCAAATTTTATGGCCCTTCCTGCAGGTGGTGGGTCCACAGGAAGGCAAACCCATACTGCTCCTTCAGGCTGAGCCCGACCGGGCCCCATGGGTAGAGACCCGGTCACCAGGCGCTCGTGACAAGCCCCTCCCCCAGGCCTGGCTCCAGGGTGGGGCCCCAGTAACCCACGTCCAGGCAAGGGACATTGAGTTCCTTGTTTTTTCCATAAAAATCTTCTGAATTGCTCTTTGTCTGGCCTGTCACCTAGGACCAATCTGCCTTGGGAGACCGTAATTGCCCCCGACAGCATAGCTCCTAGGATCATTCAGGTGCACAAACTCCTCCACCACGATAAGGTGGCAATTTAAGGAAGAGTAAGTACAGTCCATTTACTATTTAGCCGCAAACATTTGCTAATGGCAAAATTCAAGATTGTTCCTCCCAAATGGGGACAGTTGGCATGTATGAAGCTGTTGTATCATAAACTGGGTTTGTCTGACCAAATATTTTGTCAGAATGTTTGACCCAGTGGTTGGGTTGAAAATGAGCTGTGTATTATTTTCCACAGTCCACTGTTTTAAGAAATATTTGACCCAATCAGACCAGAGAGGACTTCTGCTTTAAGATGTAATAAGCAAAAGTAAGATTGTAAAAAAAACAAAAAAAAAAACATATAAGATGTTTAAACTGATTGGCTTAGTTAAAAACTTTAGTTTGAACTAGACAGTGAGTTTCAGTTCCTAAAATATCATTAGTTTATTCTAGCAAGCTGTTTTGTTGTTGTTGTTGTTGTTGTTGTTTTGTTTGTTTGTTTGCTAGCTAGCTAAGGGTGAAGGAGATTACAGTCAGCTAATTAGCACCAACCCAAATTGTAATTATGTAATGACAGATTTTGGGTTTTCTTTTTACTACAACTTTTTAGTAGCTACATTACAACAAATTAGTAATTTAAATCTATTTTTTAGATATAAAATTTTATTTCTTCTAAATGACAAGTTTACATACATTCTCTTAGCATTAGGTAACTTTTCCTTTAAATTGTACTACTTGGGCCAAACGTTTTATCCCATTTCTCCTGAATGACCTGGTGTAACTGTGTCAGGTTTGTAGGCTGCCTCACTCACACACTTTTTCAGCTGCCCACAAATTTTCAATGGGACTGAGATTGAGGATCTCCAAAACAGTCCTTTGATGTCATGAAGCTACTCTGTAACTAATTTGATAGCATGTTTAAGGTCATTGCTCATTTGGAAAACCCATTTGTGCTCAGCCTTTTAACAACCTGGCTGATGTATTGGGGTTTCAAGGCTTCAGAAATTCCACATAATTTCATCATGATGTCATCTATTTTGTGAAGATCACCAGTCCCTCCTGCAGCAAAACACCCACACATCATGATGCTGCCACCCCCATACTTCACATTTGGGATGGTACAAGCTTCCCCCCTTTTCCTCTAAATGTTAAAAAGGCCATTAAAGCCAAAGAGTTCAATTTTAGTTTAATAAAGCCACAGGACATATCTGTTTTTTTCTCTGTGTGCGATTGCAAATTGTAATGTGACTGCGTTGTTGTTGCATTTACCTTTGCCATAGTGGCTTCTTCCTCTGAGTGGCCTTTCAGCTCATGATGGTATGTGGTGTGCTATAGAATATTTCACAGATGTGCCTCTAGCTAACTCAACTGTTATAATCTAAGCTAACAAAACCTTTCAAAAATGTGACATCATGATCTGGGTTTTACAAGTGTTTAAAAGAATATTAATTTATGTAAACTTGTGACTTTGAGAAAGTAATACAAAATGTCATTTTACATTTTTTGAACATTTAACAAAAAATAATAATTTTGTGAATTCTAAATGACCTAAAACAGGAAAGATTTAGTCAGATTTAATATCGAGCGGTGACAATGAGAACAAAAATAGTTACTGGTATGTCTTTTCAATGTATGTAAATATCTGGTTTTAAATGTAAATAATTTAGTTTATTATTCAAATAATTTATCCACACAGGTTAACCCCTCTGGTTTAAGGTATGAAACAAAGAATAAACTACAAATAGCATAAACAATGGCAACTAAACATTTTTTTTGTGTAAAATACCTATAAAATCATAAACCCTTTTGCAAATGTAAACTCAGATCTGTACAAATCATATTATTGGTTCATTTATTCTAATTTTGTGTTGATGTAAGAAACAATTTCTTCTCCGTAACAACTAAGTTTTTGGATGCTTTGTATCAGCCGGGGACTTACAGCTTCCAAACTTGAGAGGGCATGCATGTCCATCCATGGGGAAATCCACAAGCTTCATGGGACACTCAGCACTGATAGTCAACCTGATAAAGAACAGAAAAATAATCAAAATTTCAAAACACTTCTACACCACACTGCCTTCCAGCTATGAACAAAAAATTAAAAACTTCAATAATTGATTCATAACCTATTGTATTAGCTGGGATTTGATTCACAGCATTCAAGAAGAAACAAAACTAGCATTCTGTGGTATGCTATAAGATGATTTTTTTAAAAATAGCTTAACATTGCTGCATTAATAAGGTCAAGTTTTTAGACTGCTTGTATAACTTTAAATGTGTGGCTGCTTTGCCATCAGATAGCATTCTGCTGTTTACACTGAACGTCTGGATTTCCTTTCTCTCTAAATCTCATTTAATGCATGTAACAAAACAAAATCAGTCACTTTTCAGATTCTAAATGAGTAGAAAAACTACAATATAAATTGCATGAAATGTCTATTCCTTTGCAAAGTGAGTTTTTCAAAGTGTCAGGTGTTGGATGAATAATGTGAAGCTAAAGATTTGATTTTAATTTTGTAGATAGTTTATATGTACCTCATGGTGTAAAGGATGGTGCCATTCTTCATGATCCGGAAAAGCTTGTTTGGCGCCGTCATGTTGTGAGCGACTGACCTCTTGCCATTCCTAAAGAAAGTGTCTGGTGTCCAGACTTTGGTCACCATTAGGTTGTTTAGTCTCAGAATCTCAATTGGACCCTCATACACCAGCCTGCGATCCACCCACGTCTGGCGAAAGAACACATCCATCGTGTATTCCTGAATGATAGGAATATTGATGATTGAAAAAAATATATATATTACAAGGAGACAGTTTGAAACCATATGATTTACCACTGAAGCTGACCAAACAAGATGATTTGCAATGGAGATCTTTTTCATTCTACAAAAAAAGATGTTCATTGTGTGCATGAGAAGCAAAGTTGTGCACAAGCTTAGAGGTGAACTAATGAGGTCATGAGTGTTGGTACAAACCATTTCAACATCTGAAACAGGCCCAAAACTTGTCACATAGATGTCAGTCTTGACCTCAGTCACAGGACCTGTGGAAGTAATCAGGCAAAAAATGGTAAATGGACTGTACTTATACAGCACCTTTCTATCTTATGGAGACACTCAAAGTTCTTTACAACAATCTGTGCCTCATTTACCCATTCATACAGCTCTATACTAGATCTCTACAAAGATAGTTGAACAAATTACAAAGTATTCAAAAGAGACTAATCAGAGTTTTATCACATTCACACACTGATGGGACACACATCAGAGGCTATGAGGGGTTCAGTGTTTTGCCCAGGGACACTTTGGCATGTGACTGCTGGTGGATTTGAACCCCCAACTCTTGCATTGGAGGATGACTGCTCTAACCATTCAGCCACAGCTGACCCACTAAGCATCACATTCAATCACCAAATCTTACTGAACTACAGTTCTGTCTTAAAGGGGTATTTTAGCTATTATGAAGTATGGTTCTTGGCCATGAGCAATAACTATGTCACCAGTTGTAGCTCTTTAAATGTTCTCACGTTAGAGATTTTTAGTCTGACAAACACTGTTCCATGAAACTGCTGTCAGTTTCTGAATATCTTGTACATATAATTCTGTGTTTACCTACAAGCAAAAACAGCAGTGTTGATATTTTCTGGGTTGTTAATATAAAAAAGTTTGATATGTTTACGCAATTTACAGTTTACTTTAAAATGATAATTAAAATGTTTGCCTGCAGTTTTAGCTCCGAGTCTCAGAAAGGATCAGTACTTTGTGGAAATGAAAACATTGATACCAGTTTATTTTGTTCATCAATTTTATCATCACTCTTATTAGTCATTTACTTTATATCGCACTCTGTTAAAGCTTATCTAAAACTGTAGCAGCTAAACCCTTTCAACATCAATATGTGAAACCTTTTAACTTCCATTTCTCAAACCCAGCTCCAGAACCAGTCACGGACCACAAACGTACCGTCTGTTTTCACTCTGATAAGATTACAAATGAGCGCCTGTTGTGTCAAAACATGTTACGTGTGAAGGTGTATAAATGAAGCTGTACTGCTCATGTTTTTTGGAGAACACACAAGAACTCTTGGGCTGCGTTTTCATTTCATGTGTTCTCCCTTCTGCAGAAGAGAAATAAACTTTTCTGTGTTTTTTAACAAAGTTCTCAGTCTGCTAAATTTTATTGAACAACAAAGTTTGATAAAACTCCACAGCAGTAGTAGCCAGCAATAGCATTTTTAGTGCAGCCAAAATAATCTTGTAATGCATAATTGGTGATAATGTATAATGGTGTTTGCATGAAAAATACATGATGCATTGTTTGAAATTTTAAGGACTTGAGTTGTTTAAGGATCCATTTACAGAAGTGAGCAGACCCACTTTCAAGGCAGAACTATTCTTCAAAAAGTCATAAAATGTACCCAATTTTCATTGCTGTCAATTTCAAATTGCTGTTTGTTTTTTTTGTTTTTTTTTTATGGGGGGGGGGGGGTTGCGGGGGAGGCAGAAATATTACAAAATTCCTGTTGGTTGTAGGGATAGGCATTGATTTTTAAATATTCAAAGTCTAGTTAAAAGGGGCAAGATTATAGAATCACTGCAATCATCAGGTCCTATTTTTTCATACACCAGAACTTAGTAGTGGCATGCCAAGTTTTCTTAATAGTGCTTTTTCAGTCCAGGTGTGTCCCCTTCCCCCAACCCCCTCCCTAAAAATTACTCAAATGAAATGTTTTTCTGACTTTTTAAAAAAGATTATGAAGTTGAAACTATAGTCACAGGTGAACACAGGTTTACATCAAGACTATGTGCATCCTTGTTCACGATGAACCATTGGATCAGTTAAAATGAAGACTTAAAGATCCCTGGTTACCAGAGTTATCAGCGCCACAGGCTTCTGTACCCAAAGCCTCTGTTTCATAAACCCCTTATCCATAGGTCCGGTTCTTGTAGGACCCTATTGGGCCTTATTTAGGCCGGTTCCAGTCTGCTTTGCCTGTGGATTTTTCTCCTTTTTTATGTACACATATATATATATATATATATGTATATGTACATATCTGTACATATATATATGTACAGATATGTACAAAGTGTCCTGAGACAACTTTGTTGTGATATGGCACCATATAAACAAACTGAATTGGACCGAATACAAGATATAGGACCATTTTGGGCGCACCTCTCCTGCATACCGAGCTGACGCACCTCTCCTGCGCCCAGAGCTGAATGCACAGTACAGATTGTTCTTCCGGAACAGATCGTGCAGTGATACTCACAACCAGCTATGTGTAAGAGGCTAGCCACTGCAGGTAGGCTTTAAGCCATTGTAATCCCTTCCTCTAATGCCTATGTTGCCATTTTGGACTGATATGCTTCTCAACTTTTAGATGTCTCTGTTTGTGAAAAAACCTTCAGCTGACTGTATTCTAAAAGTGGGAACTGGTGAGTTTGTTTGTTTGTTTGTTTGTTTGTTTCAGGAGCTAGCATGCTAGCCTTAGCTTCCAGGTTATTATATTGGGCTCTGTGATGAATCAGTACTATTGCTACAATATTAATTTGAATGTTCTTATAGAAAAAATAATTATCAAGCATTAATACTTCCTATACGAAATGTCACTGATGGTATTGTTATACCCTTTCTGAAAACCTGCATTTGTATTGATCTGGATAATGAAAAATAAGCGACTTGCAATAAGTTAATAGCTCCTAATTTTAACATTGAAGCATTTAAATTGAAGGTACATTGAAATGGTGAAATGCTATTGCTATAATATGTGCTAACGACTGGTGAAATAATAGGACCTTTAATATTATGAAAAATTAAGAGTACTCAAATAATGATCTTGATTCTATTTATGTACCAGATCCTCCAACAATTGAACAAGATGTTCTGAACTAGCTTTACTATAAACCATCCTATATAAATATTATTTAGGACACACACACACATGCAGACCCTTTCCAAAGAATTAGAATATCATAGAAAAGTTGCTTAACTTCCATAATTCCATTCAGAAAGTTAATCTTTAATAGATGATAGAGTCAGAGCCCACAATTTAAAGTATTTATTTGTTTATTTTTACATAATTTGGGCTTCCAGCTCATGAAACCCACGAAAACAGGATAAAAAAAAAATAGAATACTGCGGAGAAATCAGCACAAATTTTCTTCTTCTTCTTGAGGTGTTTTTTGGCGGTTGGCAAACAACTTAATGGTGCATTACCGCCACCAACTGGTAAGGAGTGTGGATCAGGATTCTAATATCTAGACTAATTATACTGGGGGGGGGGGGGGGGAAATAAAAATATATATATAAAAAATAAAAATAAAAATTAAAAATAAAAAAAAATCCTAGAAAATACTTTAATCGTTAATTAAATCCTTCCAAATAAACCAGTATTTTGAAGAAACTGCAATATCAACGGATAACATTTCTCTTCCCTCAACACTTCTGATAATTTGTATCTTGTTTGAATCTCTTCAAGATTTCGGATAAGAATATATCGTTCCTTATTATATTTATTACAGTTTAACATAACGTGCTCTACTGTTTCTTCCTGGCCACAAAAGCCACAATTTCCTGTATTATTTTTCCCCATTTTAAACAGTGTGCTGTTCAACCCAGTGTGTCCAGTTCTGAGTCTTGATATTATTATATCTTCTCTCCTGTTTTTCCTCCCACTTCTAATTTCTCCTACCTTCCTTTGTATTTTATAAAACCATCTTCCTTTTCATTCTTCTTCCCATTGTTTCTGCCATTTTTCCTTCAATTTTTGTTTGATGATGTTCTTAGTTTCTAATCTACTGAAATTAATTTCCATATCGATAGTAATATGTTTTGTGGCTTCTTTTGCTGCTTTATCTGCCATCTCATTTCCATTTATTCCGATATGTGCCGGTATCCACAAAAATTCTACTATGAGTCCCATTTTTTGTATTCTGTATAGTGTCTGCTGAATTTCTAGAAGAATATCTGGTCTACTTTCTGAGTTACTGTTGTTTAAACTTTGTAATGATGAGCTTGAATCCGAACATATTATTGTTTTCAGTGGTCTAATGTCCTCTATCCATTGTACTGCTAAAAGTATTGCAAGCAGTTCCCCTGTATACACCGAGAGTCTATCGTTAATCCTTTTATTAGTTGAGACATAAAATTCTGGAATAACAAATGCTATTCCCGTCTTATCATGTGAATCCTTGGATGCGTCTGTGTAGATTTGAACGTAGTCATAATAGCTATTAATATAACTTTGTATACTATGGTGATTTAAATTGTATTTCTTATCTTTCTTCTTTTCAAGTATTGAAAAGTCAGTTTTAACTTCAGGGAGAATCCATGGATGTATTACAGGTAATGGGACAGTTGGACTAATAACAAGTTGAGCCACTCCTAGTTCTGCAGCTTTCTGTTCTACTGACCATCCAAAGCTTTTTATTTTTTCCTCTCCTTCTCCCAGCAGGGTTTTAGGGTGTTATGTGTTGGATGAAAGTGATTATGGCCCTGCAAACTTGCCCAGTAAGTTACTGATAACTGGGATCTTCTTAACTCTAATGGCATTTCCTCCATGTCTACCTGTAAAGCTGCCACTGAAGTTGTTCTAACAGCTCCTATACAAAGTCTTAATGCTTGATGTTGAATGCGATCCAGGTTTTTAAGAACCGAATCTGCTGCTGATCCAAATACCACACATCCATAATCTAATATTGACCTTATCAATCCAGTATAAATAGCTTTTAATGCAATTCTGTCTGCACCCCATC